AAAATTTAGTGTGACTTTTTGCCTTGAAGTTATGGTAGCAGCAACTGAAGCCACAGCCCTAGCATCAGCTAGAATGTGTACCCCGCTGGGGAAACAGCCTAGCTTTACACCCTCTAAGTGATGTGGTAATCTGGTTGGAGTAAAAGATGTGGGAACACCAGGTGTGGTGGCCTACGCCTATATCCCAGCCCTCGGGAGACAGGCCAGGAGGATCGCCATGAGTTCGAGGCCAACCTGGGCTACACGGTGAGTTCACAGTCATCCAATACTACACAACCAGAGACTGTCTCAAAACAAAGCGAATGTGCAGTTTATTAGGAAAGGATTGGAGGACATGAGGGATTCTTGTTAAGGTACTAGTGATAGTGGAGTAGCACCTGCTTTGGCCGTGATGGACTCGTGAGCACGGAAGATGCCAGCTTCTGAATGCACATTAGCTGGGAAGATGACAGAAAATGGGAGAAATATTACAGAGTAATGGGGGAACTTCAGAGCAGTACAGCATGCACGCGGACTTTGAAAACAACAGCTGCTGATGTGAACGTGGCAGAAATTTGTGAGTAATGGTGAGTGACTCACTGCAAGCATGGGAGTCTTGCAGCTTTTGAGGTGAACAGGCAGAGGGGAGTGTGGAGATGGTGGCCACACAGGGGCTGTGTGTTACGTCCTGAGTATCACGGCTTCCTTGGCCCCGTTAGGTTTTGCAGCTCGATCATTCCCATTGATTAGCCGACGACGCTTATTTTCTGAAGCGTTCATTCTCTCTGTGCTGAGTATCCGGGGTGGAAGGTAGGGGGTGGTGATGCGCATTACAGCACTGATTTTTTTTTTCCCCTGGAACCGGAACTGGGTATTGAACTTGCCCTTGGCCTTGCCAGGCAAGTGCTTATTCTACTGAGCTATCTCTCTGGTCCCTACAGCACTGATTTTTTGTTTTAAACATCACCCCTACCCTGGGAGATGCTGTCATTCTGATATACCCAGTCCTAAAAAGGCTTGTCTGACTCTTCAGGTGAGAAGTGGTTCTGTGTAGCTGGAGAAATTGCATGCGTTATTCCCCTCCATTGAAAGTCATTGTTCTAAAGCAAGTAATAAGTAACTAAAATTATACGTCATTCCCCTAGTGTCCTCAAAACAATATTGCAGGGCTGTGCTCCATCTTGTTTTCTTTGTCGTCATCAAATCAAATACAGTCTTTAAAACAATTATAACAGGTTTAAACCTGGGGCAATTTATGAAATCTTGACTGCTTTTAAGGGAGACAATACTGGTACAGCATTAATTTTCCTCTTCTCTAGAAATTTAGTTACCGTCAGTAGCATGTTCTTAGGCAGAGTGATGGTCATCCCAGCTGAGAAGCCAACCTTTCCCACAGCTAGGAGTTTGTAGATGCTACCAGAGGAAGGTTTTAGGGTTATGTCCTATAAAGCAAAGCAGTACACTGGAATCCAGAGCCTTGGAAATCTCAGCTGTTTTAGAGTATGTGTTTTGATAATGATGTGATTGGATAATGGCAAGACTAGTTGTAGAATGTGGAATTGGGGGAAAAGCTTTCCAAGTGAAAGAACTACGGAGAAGTGCCTCCTTTTGATATTTTGAGGAAGACAGTTCAATGAGAAGGTTTTTTACGGGCTTGTACTTTTCTGTAGAAGGGAAGCAGGGAGGTGTGACTGGGCTTGCGTGGTCTAGCTTAAAGGGCAAACCCCCTAACCTTCCACTTAGCTGCATGTTCCTAGTACATGTGCGTGTCTCACATCTGTGGTTTCAGACATGATGTGTCATTTTCTGTTACTCAGTATTGCTTCTGAATGAGAGGCCACTAACTCAGAGCCACATGGGAGATGGGAAATTGTGGAAAGGGCATCCCTGTTGAAGACAGACATATGTATGCAGCAGGGGTGCTGTATGTCTAAGTGGCTTTTAGCTCAGAGAACAGTTAAAAAGAAAATCTAGTGCTATTTCTTACTTTTAAGTCTCTGAATAAAGACTTTTCTTTCTTCGCAGAATTTCTGGAGTACATAAAAAAAAACCTAGGGACTGAAAATAGCTTTAGGAGGGTACTGATATGGAGATTAATTGTTGTATTGGTAACTGCCTTAAAGTTTTAGAATGCTGTAAATTTTAATTCCTAATTTTATAAGCAAACATAAACACTCCTAACTTTTAAGTGACAATATTGTTTTCAAGTGGAGATGCTTTTGCTTCTACTGTATGCATTGAAAATGCTTCTAGGAGAGTTTTGCTAATCCGCAGTGTAGGATTTTTCCTCTGTTGTAGCTTCTGAATTACTAAGCTAGAAACATGTTGGTGAATGTAACCTTGCTGTTGTGTAGGTATTCACTGTTACATGGCTGGAAGTTGGCGTGGCATCCAGACAGATAAGCAATTTCTCCTTTGCCTGGATTCCTGCTATTTGCTTTACAACGAGCATGCGTTACACTACAAAGTGTTTCCCCATCCCCCTCCTGCAGAGGGGATATTCTTTCCCTTCTTGGGTTCTAGTCTTGCCAGACTTTGTCTTCCTTAACTCATCCGTGGTTTGTTGTGAACACTTCCTCATTCTCCTTTTCCAGTATGGACTTTCTGGGGGCAGCACCTTATGCAAAATCAGTTGTTAACGCCCCTTAAAACCATACTCAAATGGTGAGAAAATAAAGTTAATGTTGCTTCCAGTAGGCAAAGAATCGGGTGTATCAACTCGTGTTCATCTAGGCCTGAGGAGACGAATAGAAATAACTTCTGTGCTTCATTTTGGAGGTTACCTTAATGTTGAGTACCCGGATTTGTTGACATCATTTACCATCCCTACAACCAGTGAGTCAACTGTATCTCTAGATTTTCTGTTTAATTCTGTTTAATTCTAATTTGTGTGTGCTGTTTTGATGTCCTCACTTGGCTGGCACATGTCTTAAAACCCATGTGTGTAACAAACAGAGCTCTCAGTCTTTCTACCCCAAACCTGTTCCGTCTGCAGCCTTCCCTACCGCAGTTGATGGTCTCTCAGTCCTTCCAGTTGTGTGGGGGAGAAATAAAGTCACTCTGACTCCAGTTCTCTCAGTGAATCTTGTTGGCTGTTCCTGAGAATATCCAGAACCCAGCCACCCATCACCCTGCCCTGGGCTGTTGACCTCGCTTACTGTATTACTACACCACCCTCCTGAGTATCGGCTCCCTTTCCGACTTTGGCCATGTAGACTGCCCTCAATCAGCAACCAGCCAATCCTTTAAAAACACAAGCAGGACTGTGCCACCTCCTCTTTGTGTTTCCCAGTGCCCCTGGAGGTGAAAGCTGAAGTCCTGAGTGTCCTGCAAGGCCCTGCACATTTGCTGCCCGTCAGACCCAGCCCTTTGCGCCTTCCACGTGGGTATCCCAGTCCCTGGGATGCGCTTCAGTGACTCCTGCCCTCCAGATGTCCTCCCACTCCTACTCTGTGGTTGAGCTCTCACTTCTCAATACAGGAAATTACACCGCTCCACTGCCACCACCCCACACTCCTTATTGCCTTTTCTGTGCCCTGCTTTTTCTTTTTCCCTGTAGTGCTTGCATTTTCTACCACCTGTCTGCTTTACTGACTTGTCCCTGTTGCTGTTTCCCCTACCACCTAGACAGCAAGCTCCATGAGCACAAGATCTTGGTTTTAGTCACTGAGGCATTCTGAAGGAAAAGGAAGGAAGGGAAAGCACAGAGAGGACCAATGTTTTTTTGTTCTTTGTGTGATACACAAGTGTGGTTTTTAACGGCTTCATTTGCTATCTCGACTCTCTTTTATTTAATAGCATTATTGAGGTATAATTTGTGTACCATGAAATCTACCCATGATCATTGTATAAAATAGTGAATTTTAGTTAATTTATAGAGTTGTACAACTGTCACTTCAAGTATTTCCCAGTGTCCATTAATTTGCAGTTAATTCACCACCTTCCCATCCCATACTCCAACTTGTCAATTTTTGTGGACCGTGTATCTTGGAAAGGATAACAGGTAACAATACTAATACAGTATCATATGCTTGAAAATTGTACATGTAAGCTGGAAACAGTTGCACATACCTATAATTACAGCTACTTAAGATGGGGGAGGAGGATCACAAGTTTAGGCTAGCTTGGGCAATTTACTGATATTCTGTCACAAAAGTAAAAGATAAAAAAGTCTAGAGATGTAACTCAGCAGTAGAGATCCCTTGGCTTTAAGCCCCAGAACCAGAAAAAAAAAATTGGTAAAATTATGTATGAAATTAAATATATTTGTTTAATGTAGGAAATGCTGTTGAACATTAGTGGAAAGTCAGATTAGGTAGAGTGTTACTTAACTGCCATTTGCCAAGTTATCCGATTTTTTTACCTCAATTTATTTGTCTGTTAAATGGGGGTAATGATAGTAATTAGCTTCCAGAGTTATTGTAAAGATTATAAGTAATAAAAGTGCAAACATGTACTAGTAAAAAATGAAAATTGGGAAACAGTGAAAGTAAACTAAGCACCATGGGTATCCCATGGTGAACATTTAGGCATGACAGATCTTTTAAACTAGTGTAGGCTGAAAGTAAATGGGCTAAATAGCTATCCTTGCAGGTAGAAACAAACTGAAGCAGATTCTAAGGGCGTGAAGTTTGTGTAAAATATATTCCTACTCCTCTCTTGGTTTGTAAATAGCATGTGACTAGCAGATTGAAAAAGCCAGTTAATTTCCACCAGAAAAGATAATTTTTCAGCATTTTTATTTGGTGATGTCTGCTAACGCACTTTTCCTGAATTTTCTGTGCTCACCTTTGCCAGAGCTTTGACACCAGGGAGGTAATTACCTACACAGCTGAAGCCATAGCGACTGCCAGAACTTGTGCAGTTGTCCTAATCTGACATGGGCAGTGTGGGGGAGACTTCCTCTAAATCAGTAGAAGGAGGGTGGCATTCAATTTATTTCTTGCAGTGTGATAACGCGGTACTAAATTATCTTTAATACGATCTTATTCTGTTTCTTGTTCTTCTGTGTACAGATGCACAAAGCAGGGTCATCAGAAGCCTCTCGATGCAAAAGATGATAATACCGAGAAACAGTGCCCAGTGACAGTGAACCCTTGGCACATGAAGAAAGCATTTAAAGTCATGAACGAATTAAGAAGGTACATCACTTTCATGTACATGAAACCATCAGTCTTTTTCCTCTATTTTTCAGTTGTCTAGTGAGGATAACTTCCTCCTTCATCATTGCTGCATAGTTTGATCATGGACATCAAAAGCTTATTCTGTAAGCTTTTCAAGGAAAGAGAAGGCTAAGGATGTAGCTCAGCGGCAGAAGTGAACACACAAGGCTCTGGGTCCAGTCCCCAGCGCTGCAACACAGCGAGGGGAAGCATCGCATTGATCAGTAGTATACATGACATAGGACTTCTCTGTGAGCTATGGTAGGCACTGGCCACAGGTGGCTAGTTCAGTGAGATAGTCTGTGAGTAGCAATATGTAGTGGCTTTCTAAAACTTTGTGCAAAAAGGATATAAAATGTTTTATTAATTCTTTAAATATGGGAGGGTTGGTACCTGGAATCGTGCTTGCCAGGTGCTATGCCTCTGAGCTATCGCCTGGCTCTAAATATTGGTTATGTATTAAGTGACAGTATATAGTATATTTATACTAAATTGAATATATTATTGACACAATTTCTATTTTTTATCTTCTTCCATATGATCAATAGAAAGTTGTGACTTCATTATATTTCCACAGGGTAGTACTGATCTAGGGCTTCTTGAAAAAGTTATGGGAAGAAACTTGTAGAGAAAACTGCAGTTCTCTTCGGTGGTGATGGTGGTGGCAGCAGTAGTTCTAAGGAGTAGTGACCTGCCCACTGCTAAAGGTAGTTCTTAAGTATGTCAAGAGCCACTGAGTGACATTAAAAGCGATTGAATAATTAAAGGCTGATGTATGTATAAACAGCTTTGGATTTGTTTGCTTAGTACTTTACATAAGATTTATTTTTCTTCAGCATTCCTTTTGTGAAAGTACTATATACATCTGCAGTGCTGAAAGGTGGCCGAGAAGGGAGTGGCTTGCACTTTCTCTTAGCCTTTCTCTGCTAGGACTTACCAAGAGCCCGCAGTTTAGGTCTCTCATTTATTTGTGTCTTCTTTGATTAACTGACTCACTAACAACTTACCTGCTAGGTATAATAGGGAGAATGATGGGCACAAAAGATTTGATTACTATGCTCATGGGACTTAGGCTTCACTTCAGAAAACAGGCACTAATCAGAGGGTCACAAGGACGATTTAGTGAACTGTGGTGGCCCTGAGGAAGGCTGCCTGGGGTTACCAGGGTGGATGACAGTACTCAGGAAAAGATTCCCTGAGGAGACCAGAATGATGAGGCTGAGATCTGAAAGTAAAGAGGTAAGGGGTGAAGTTGAGACGTGGGAGATTTCCAGATGGTGTCCCAGTGCAGGGCCCCAAGAGGTTCCTGGAGTGTGGGTGGCCACGTGGTTTTGGCAGGGAGGCTCAGTGGGCAGGGAGGGCCAGCTTGCCTGCCACCTGCTGTTTGGAACTTCATATAAGTTGCCTGCAGGGCAAGCCACTGGAGAGTGTTCAGAAGGAGTGTGCCACAATCAGGCTTGTGTGTGACCACACAAATACAGACGTGAACACTAGCTACAGGGTAGAAAATGGTTTCTGTATTTGATTCTTTACTTCAGATGCTATGAGTTCAGTGAATTCTTTTTTCATTTCAGAAAATAACTCTGGTCTGAGTTCCTCTGTAACTTTCTGTTGCTTGTTTACTTTTGATGATATTAATTCATACATTTCAGCTGAGCTAGTGTCCTCTGCACTTGTTCTGGGCGGGCATTGGATTTCCTCCATATGTTTCTGCATTTGAGTCTTTACTGCTGATGCTATTAATTCAGGGATTTCTTTTTTCATTTCCAATCTGAGTTCCTTTATACCTTTCTGCAGTTGTTTCTTTATTTCAGAAGCTGTTGATTCATTGATTTCAGCTGTGTGATTCCCAATTTGTTCTGTGTTAATGTCCTCTGCACTTGTTATGGGTGGGCTTGGGGTCTGAGATTGCGTTTTGCTCCTTCTCGTCAGTTTATATAGCATTGTCTTCTGACCTTTGTTGTAGAGCTTTCGTGCAGTTACAACTTTAGCACTTACTGAAATTCAGGTGCAGATCTACAAAGTTTGAATTTATCCAGCTGTGCCTGGCTTGGGTCTGGCTGCTGTGCTCAGCTCCTTCTTGCTGTCCCCCTGGGGAGTGAACCTGTTGTGCCCCTCTGGCAAGATGTTCTGTTCCTGGACTAGCTGGGTGGTTCTGTCTCCTACTCTCTCTGTAGGGACTGCAGCTGCAGAGTTTCACCCCAGGCCTGTATGCCAGGCCTGAGCTGAGTCTGAAGGCGACAAGGTGGAGTAGGGGGGAGAGAAGCTCTCCCACACACTCACTGGGCCTTGGCTATGGCTGGATCTGAGGGTCCCAAGAATGCAGAAGGTCTCACTCACTGGGCAGGATGGGGGGGGGGACTGCGGAGTGGTGGGGGGTCCCAAGGGGGTGGAAGAGGGTCTCCCCCACGCTGCGCCTGGGCTTGGACCCGACTGGTCCTGCCGGTGCATGGTAGCTGGAAGCTCCCACACACTCACTGGGCCTGGGCTAAGGCTGAATTTATAGGGTAGAAAATGGATTGGAGGGCTGGGGAGATAGCTCAGTAGAGTAAGTGCTTGCCTAACAAGAGCAAGGTCCTAGGTTCAATCCCCAGTACTTGGGAAAAAAAATGGATTGGAGAGGGAAACTGACTATTGGCTCATTGGATTTGCTTCCTAGTACTGCTCTGATGTTTTCAAAATGAAAGTTTTATTTATTTTGGGGGAGAATAGTCAGGTAGTGTTCAGCAGGTCTGAAAGTGTTATTTCAGTTTTTCAGTCCTATTGTGACAATAGTTATTAGAATATAAGATGCAGTGGCCAAGTGGCAGGGAATGAGAAGAAGAAGAACCAGCTGGCTCTTTTAAGATTGGGATCTTTAATGGGTCTTTTTCCTTTTTCAAAAATCTAAAAAGAGGAAGGACTTTTAACAGGACTGTGCTCCAGTTGTTTCCTCCACTTTTGGGTAGGTGTGGCTTTCCATTCTGCGGGCTCCGGGGACCTGCACCTGACTCTACCACCCCAGGGCTAGCAGCCGCTAAGTTTTTGCGTGGGTGAGTTACTCAAGTTTGGGGAGCAGCTTTTTGGCCTTGGGCCAGTTGTTTTACTTCTGTGTGCCTGGACTGTAAAATAATGGTGGATGGAATAGGACCTGAGGCTCCCTGCTGCTCAGACGTTCTCTGGGTCCATGAGATTCTCCCTGCTCAGCTGGGAGTATTGCGGTGCCTTCTACTCATCCCAGAATTACTTAGCTTTAGCCTTGGCTTATCTTGGCTCATCTCTCTGTCCTGTTTTGGTGTGCACTACGAAGCACCTTCTGGTTCTTTGTGTTGAGTGATTTCAGGAGCTGTTATAACCAGGCAGTAGGTTGATACTGGTTTTCGAAACAAAGGCAATGACCTTTGAATAATTGGAGTGTTGGCTCCCATATCTATCACCAGGATTGTTGGCATGACGTTGGTAACGCACACTGGATTTTAAAATGCACTGTTTTTGCGACCCACCAGAGCCTGTCTTCTTTTTCACATCATCCTCTTCTTCACTTACCCTTTGTAGCCAATTTGAGTGTATCTTAAAAAAAAAAAAAAAAACAAAAAACCTGTGACGAGCCCTATGACTTGTACATCTGAAAGTCACCCTTTATTTCCTGACCTTGCATCAGCTTCCTTCTGCCAAGCAGCAGCTGAGAGTAGTTTGCTGACTTCCAGGAAAGAAGAACTTTCTTGTTCTCACCGTAGTGCCCTGTAGTGCCCTTCAGCTGTAACCTCCAAGGGCCGAGGAGCGTACACAAGAGCACGTTCTTGTGAACCTTGATCTGAAGGAAGTACAACTTGAGTAAGAGCCACCTTAATTATAGTTTTATAAGTTGTGGCTGTGGGAATAAAGGTGGGAGGAATTTTATAAGATTGAAGTTACAGAATTACGTTTTTAAATTTTTTGCAGAAGAGTCTTGCTGTTTAGCTCAGGTTAGCCTTGCACTTGGTATGTAGCTCAGGCTGGCCTTTAATTCATTTTGCTTCTGCCTCAGCATACTGAGTGGTGCAATTACAGGCATGTGCCACCTGCCTGGCCTTTTTTTCAAATTTAAAATAATTTTTGTGTGTTATTATTTATCTATTTTTATAGAAAAAGAATAGTGACCTTTTCTGAGACTAATTTTTTTAAAAATACAAGGCCCAGAGGCCTACTTCTATGTATCAGTCCACAATAAACTTGAATAACTTAAAACTATTTGTTTTGAAAATCCTGTATTCATGTTAGAGCATCTGGGAGACCTGGTTCTCTTTCTGCTCACATACCTAGAATACCTGTTGGACTTTCCTCCCGCTCTTTGGGTATCTAGTGATCTGCAGGGAAGATCATGGAGAGGGTGGGAGTGTGGAAGATTGTGTGTAAAGCCTGCGTGCAGAAAGGGGCTCTGAGGGGAAGCTGGGCTGGCCCACAATAGGGCTGCAGGCGGGCTTCACACAGGGGCAGAGTGGGAAGTCCTTCCATCAGGTGGAGGAGCAGGAGCTGGGGCAGGGAGGAACCCAGCAGGAGTAGAGAGGAAAGGCTCACGTACTGGAGAAGGCAGAGTTCGGAGGTCAGGAATCTGGGCGGTGGATCCAGGCAGTTTGAGGAAGGGAGGAGCAGGTGAGTGCACAGCGGGTTGGCTGTAATTCAGCAACGTGTCTAGCAGCGAATTAGCTCTTCCAGCTGTTCCTGGGCCCAGTGAGAGAGTGCTTGCCAAGGTGTGCAAAGAGCAAGGCTGTACCTAGAGGGGAGTTTAACTGGGAAAACCAGATCTCCAGCTTTGTGAGGTTGCCAGAGAACTTTCAGAAGGTAGCATTAAAAAAAAAAAGTAGCACTTTTGCTTTAAAATAAAGTTTAAAACTGAGAACTTTCATGTTCTAGGATCTGACATAGGACTGCTTGAGCTTTAAAAATTCCCATGAGCGGTGATTGAGGAGGGGCTGTTAGTTTTATATAGAAGGAGCCTAGTTTTGATTCTTTTTCTTTCT